TTGTGCCTACGTATTTCGGGGAGTTATAAGGATAAGATCGAGTCAAATATATACACTGATCTCTATATATAACTGGATGGGCGACTGTATCTAAAACTGCAAAATATTAGAAGACCGGAAACGCCATATTTTAGATGCCCACTTTTACACAAATGGCGGAAATTTTTAAATATAAAAGTGAGATTGATATACGTTTTGCTGTATAGAAAAGTACTTAACTGATTAGCAAATTTTTTAAATCTAATAATTAATTAACCGTCAATTACTTCCCACACAACACCGAAACTTTCCTGAAAATTTATTAAAGATTTACTTGCAAACTTCGAAAAATTTACTTGCAAAGTTTAGTAAAAATTGTGTAAAGATTTAAATGTCCCACTTAAATAAATGTTTATCGTCAAATTTTCCTAAAAATTTAACTTAAAACTTTCCTGAACATTTAAATTAAATTTTCGACTTCTCTCTTATAAGCGAAAATGTAACTTAAAACTTTCCTGAAAATTTAAATTAAATTTTCGCCTATATGACGGGTTCCACGTTAAGTGACCCAGGTCAAAATTTTAAATGTTTGGGATCGGGTAAAAATTTTGCAAAAACAGTAGTCCTATTAGATACAATTAAAAATACCAAATATTATTAATTTATTTAAACAAATATAAAAACTGGAGGGGGTCAAAGTTTAAATTTTTGGTCTAACATGGAATATTTGAAAAATTTGTAGTTTCTTTAAAACAAAACGAAAATACGTTTTCTATTTTGGGTTTTTCTGCTGTTTTTCAACACTTTCTAACGGTGTAAACAAATGTAGAGAAAAAAAATGTTTGACCTTGAAAAATTAAATTAAAAAATAAAATTTCATTTTTTCATCAAATGGACAGTTTTTATTTTAAAAAAAAAAATTTTATCATAAAGGTGAGGTTTTTTCCTAAAAAAAATGTATAGGTCAAAACGTGGGACAAGAACTTTTAACTGGTCAAAATAAACATTTACTTCTGCAATCCACCGCCCCTGCTCGTTGTTGGGCTATATATTGTTTATAACAATTGAAATAAATTATTTTATGCTTTATTAATTATCTGGTGGTCATATTGGATGAATTTAAATTTATTTAGATCATGTGCATCAACGGAATAAGAAAATAAACCTCCTTTTTTAAAAAAGTGTATTAATTTGTTAACTTTGATTTAAAAAAAATTATAAATAATTAAAATCTCCAAAATCGGCCTCGAAGGATGTCTTAAGAATTTATTCCCCTTTAATTTAAGACAAAGAACACTCAAATCGGTTAAAAATTGTAAGCTATAGACATTTTTTAATAGTAAATTGTAAAAAAAATTCCACTGTGGGACGGTGCACGGCAGAAGTAAATGCTTAATTTGACCAGTTAAAAGTTCTTGTCCCACGTTTTGACCTATACATTTTTTTTAGGAAAAAACCTCACCTTTATGATAAAATTTTTTTTAAAAAAATAAAAACTGCCCATTTGATAGAAAAATGAAATTTTATTTTTTAATTTAATTTTTCAAGGTCAAATAATTTTTTTTCTCTACATTTGTTCACACTATTAGAAAGTGTTGAAAAACAGCAGCAAAACCCAAAATAGAAAACGTATTTTCGTTTTGTTTTACAGAAATTACAAATTTTTCAAATATTCCATGTAAATTTTTGACCTGGGTCACTTGACGTGGAACCCGTCATATACAGTAGGCGAATTTTTTTTTTTTAATTTTCAGGAAAGTTTCAGGCTAAACATTTATTGAAGTGGGACATTTAAATCTTTACAAAATTTTCACTAAACTTTTCAAGTAAAAACTTCGAAATTTGCAAGTAAATCTTTAATAAATTTTTAGGAAAGTTTCGGTGCTGTGTGGGTTTCTTAATTAAATAATTTATTATTCACTTATATTATTTTAAAAACTGATTAATTAATATAGTAACAGAACTTTTAGTATTCAAACATTATATAAACTCAAATATTATTGAAATAATATTTTTATTTTTAAATAATAATTGATTAAAAAAAATATTTTTTTAATTTGGTAAGGAAACTAATTATGTGTTTAACAATACGCAAAAGTGTGTAAAATGTTCTACGCAAAAAGGAAACAAAATATAACCTAAAAATATACACTTCAATAATATGTATTTGAGGCATTCCATTTCAAAACGACCCCCTTCGTAAACAATTGACAATGAAAGACAATTTTTAAATGAATATTTCTTCCATTCTGTAGAACCAAACTACTTTTTATATTAGTGATTTCGAAAGTAGAATTTCTGTACTTTCTGATAATAAAAATATATATTTTTTTAATAATTTAATTTAAATAGAAAATTGAGTTTAAAAGTTAAACTTTAAAAAATCTCAAAACACGTTACCTCCGATTTTAATAAAATTCATATCAAACGAAAGCTTGAATATTCTACTTTTTATTTATCAAGCGATAATAATGGACATTTCAGTAAATTTTAATTAATTAATTAAATTTTACAGACATTTAGAAGGTTATTATGCATAAATGGAGAAAAACAAATGCCGCCCTATACTTAATAAATGGTTCTCTCAATGTAACCTTCGAAATGTTTGTAAAATTTAATTATTTTCTCAAAATCCACTGAAATGTCCATTCTTATTGCTTGATATATAAAAAGTAGAATATTCAAGCTTTCGTTTGATATGAATTTTATTAAAATCGGAGGTAACGTGTTTTGAGATATTTCAAAGTTTAACTTTTAAACTCAATTTTCTATTTAAATTAAATTATTAAAAAAATATATTTCTTTATTTTTAGAAAGTTCAAAAATTCTACTTTCAAAATCACTAATATAAAAAGTAATTTGGTTCTACAGAATGGAAGAAATATTCATTTAAAAATTGTCTTACATTGGCAATTGTTTACGAAGGGGGTCGTTTTGAAATGGAATGCCTCATTTACTGTTTAAATATGTACTTTCATGTGAAAAGAAACACCCTTTGCTTCTTTTTTTCCACAATATAAACAAATTAACACCTTGTCTGTGTTTTATATCACAAAAGTTAAATTAAAATTATTAAAGCACTTGAGATGTCAAAACATTGGAAACACACACACACTATATCAAAAGCACACTCACACGGCAACTCACACAATCAAAGTCGCTCTACGCTGTTACACCGGCATCTAAAGCGTGGCGTAGAGGGTTTCAATTATTTTCACACCGGAAGCCACTTTTCTACAGCAATCGCCCATCCAGTTAATATAGAGATCAGTGAATATATATTAGGGTGGTTCTTATTTAGGCGATGTTTCCAAATCTTCGGTCTCACCCCAAAAAATTAATCAAGGTATAAAAAAAAATTTTCCTGAAAGTTTGAAGCAAATCGATCAATAGTAACACGTGCCTCTAGTCGACTGAAATTTTAAATGGAAAATACATGTAATTTTTCCTAGAAAACACAAAAAAAATTTCCAGCTTATACAAATTTATTTAAAATTCTCTAACTTTGGGTTCTTTTAGTACATAATAAGAGGTAAAACTTTCAATTTTTCCAAATTTTTTTGAAAGTATTTTCTTCATTTAGAAGCTTGATGAATATGCCGCTATCACAGTAAACAGGACCATATACAAAAAACGAAATGATAGAAATCCAAATGCAAACGCAGCATTTTAAAAATTATTATGCCTTTCAGTTGCAAGAATCTGTAACAGAAAATGGATACAATAAGCTATGTAGGTAATAGTCAACGTTGTTTATTAGAAAAGAGATATTTCTGGGCACCAGCCTTATTTGCTGAATTTAAAATTCACCGTAAAATAATATATTCCTATTACCGTGTGATATTTTTTAAGTCTTTAAATTTCAGTTACCATTATGCATTTTGAAGTTCCGGCCATAACTTTGACACCTATTTGAATCTTTCAACTGTCTTGTAGTTTTTCTGAAAACCTATATAAATAAAATTAGACTTCTGTCAGTACATTGCTTTAAATTTTAAAACTTTTACGTAAATTGACGATCTGAACATTAAGGATTCCAAAAATATAACTATAACAAGTTATATATGTATTTGTGTATGTATGTATGTTTGTGACTGTCACAAAACTTGGTACGTCAATCACTCGTAAACGGCTAAACCGATTTGAGTAAAAACTTGACAGTGCACTATATATCGGCCCAAGTTAGATTTATAAATTTACAGATTTGAAAAAGATTAACTAGAATGGGAAACATGTCACTTTTTCGAAAATTTTCAAATTATTCATTTTTTGATAGATTGCTTCTAAACTTTCTATAATTGGTTTATTGCATGTTGTTTAGTCACATTTTAATATAATTTTACAAAGAATTACCACTTAATAATCTGAGGTACAGCTATAGAAACAGCTTTTGGGGTTAAAAAAATTAATGAAAAAATAAAAAAGGTTATGAGATATAAATGAAATTTGCACTAATAAAAAAATTATATTAATAATTTACAGAGTGGCCACTAAAGTTTGCTTATAAAATTCAAAGTCAATTCCCGGTTTTTAAAAAATTTTCAAGGTCTCAAAATTCACACTTTACATGTAGAAATTGAAAAAACCACCGAAAAAAAGTTTGTTAGACAAATAGGGCTTAAGTTCGAGATTTTTAACATGTTTATTCATTAAACAATAAAATTATAAAATTTAAGGTCTGACGAAGTTCACGTCCACTTTTAAGTTTTCAAAATTTTGTATTCCAAGCATGTATTACATTGAAACTATGTAGTTTTAAAGTTAAATTTTTTAAAAATTAAACGTAAAATTCCAAGGATTAACAAAGTATGTTCAAACATACGCAGGTTTTAAGGGAGCATAATATTTGTTCTGAAAGCAAATTGACCCTATTTTCTATTATTGTATTAGAATAAATGTTTTACTCACTTTAATGAAGAAGATATTGCAGGCCAGAACTTCTTCCAGGAAATTGAAATGTCTTGCATTAGAAAGTTTTAAAAGGAGTTAAGAATTTTAATTTTTAAACCACTTTTTAGTAATTAATCAACTGGATGTTCTTCACGTGCTGTTGAATTCCTACAAATACAACAAAGCAAATATAAAAAAGTGTAAAACAAAGAGATATGTGGACGTCCGCATGAAATGGTCAAATTTTGGCAATATTGGACTTACTTCTCCCGAGTCAAAATTTAGACTCTCTTTTAGTTCTCCAAAAACCTCTTTTTAACATCTTTTAAGCTTCTTTAAACTTCCAAATCCTCTTTTGAATGTAAAAACTGCATAAATGGATTTTTCCACACTATTAGTGGTTCAAAAGAGGTTGAAAAGTGAAGTAAGGAGGCTTAAAAGAGGTCCGAAAAAAGATTTTTAAAAATATTTCGAAAACTAAAATTGGAATTTTTTTCACAGTATTATATTTTAATTGCCCTATAGAAGATGCAAATAATAGTTTTTGAATGATTTTAATAAATCTATTAGCATAGGTAGAAATTTGAAAAACTTAAATTTCACAAAAATTTGAAATCCTCTTTTCAACCTCTAAACATCGGAATGTGGATTTTTCCGCATCATTATTAGGTTCAAAAGAGGGTCTAAATTTTGACTCGGGCTATGAATAAATTTCTTGTTAAATATGGAAAATCTTGAGTAGTTTTAAATCTTTCTGAATAAAAAATTTGCCAAGTTACGGAGATTCAAAAATGGAAGTGTCAAAACACTATAGTTTTGATATAAACGAGTTTAAAGTTTGAGTGTACCTTTAGTTCCTTAATAAAATATCAAAAATAAAATTATTACGTGTTTATAATTACGATAAAATTATGAAAATCACAAAAATAAACCTAGGATACTTTGCGCTTTTTTCTCATCAATAATATAAAAATAAACGAATTGAAATTATTCAGGAAACTAGAACCTACCAAATCTGACCTTTCCATGCGAACGTCCACGTGTATAAATATGTATGTACATGTCAATGTTACATTGAAACTTACTTTTCTTTTCGTTGATCTCTTAATTTGCAATTTGTTAGCCATGTGGCAATGTTGTTATCAATTTCTTTGTCAGTTGCAGTTAGATTTGAATTAGCAGCACCTGAGAACATACAAAAGTTGAAAGTGTTTTATTTGCATTAATTTGTTTCTTGAAAATTCCTATTGTTTATATGAGTACTTAAACTTTAAGCTCATGTACACAATGTAAATTAATCTTTTGATATTTTAACGTAAATTATCGTCTTAGGTGTTATTTAAAAGCTAAACATTTTTAAAGACTATTTAAATATTTCTCATGTATTTCTCCAGTGATCATAAGACAAATTGTAAAAATAGGGTTTTCAAATCTCTTTCAACATTAAAAAAAATATAATTTCGTTATAGAATTAAGTAATTAAAATAATTTGTAGTATTGTCAATATGTACAATTAAAAAAATTGCTTCAAAATTTATAAGGAATTTTCACAGTTTAAAGATTATTGATTTAAATGTTTCCACTATGAATAATTTTTCATGTAGGAAATTTATAAATTTGTATAATTTAAAATTCAAAATGAGATTTTTTTAAATTTGTTTAAAAATCAGACTAAGGTGAATATTCTACTTTGTATAAATATACATAAAAATTATTACAAATTCATCGAGTTAATCATTTTGCATTCAATAAAAATTTCCAGAAGTTTTTAAAGGTAGAATTCAGTGACATGTTTTTTTCATCTATTATTGCAAGCAACATTTTTTTCCAATAGGTTTCTTTGCTCAATTAGAGTAGGCGTAAATTTCTCCTCTTGTAAATATTGTTGAAACTGTAAAATGAAAACATTACTAACTAACTCCTGAAAAATTACGTAAAATTAAAATTGTTTTGAATATTTTCTTTTTTATTACAAATTTTTTCCGGTACTTAGAAACTCATTTTCAATGAAAGAGTAAATTGAAATTAATTCCGAAAATAGAAATATGATTTATTGTAATAATCTTACAAAACATAAATCAGTAAAACATAGACCAGAACATAATAACAGTCCTAAAATAAAATTCACAAGAATAAAAGTTGAAAACCAAAAAAAGAATCAACAAAGGTTTACAATAAAATAAAAATTATTAGCCTTTTTAACTTTTTTTTATTAATCTTTTTGATGAGGCATAAATTATCTCCATTGAAATTAAAAACAATAGATAAATTTGAAACAAGTAAACTATTAACACATGCAATAAAATAAAAAATATGTCAAGCCTCGCTGCTTTTTTAGTCGCGTTTTAGAAACAATACTTATACACCAACGCTTACAATTAAATAAAACCATTAACCAAGACTTAAACACTAGTTTTTTGATTGCGTGCTATAAATCACCTCTAGTAAAATTTATAAAAAAAATAAAAATATTAATAATGTGAACAGAATGTCTATATACAAATGTTTACAATAAAATAAAACCAGTAACCAAGACTTACATACTAGATTTTTAGTTGTGTGCAGTAAATTACCTCTATCAAAATTTAGAATAATAATAAAAATGCAAACAGAAACTCTATATACAAACGTTTTAAATAAAATAAGTAACCAAGACTTACATACTAGTGTTTTGGTTGTGTGCTATAAATTACCTCTATTAAAATTTAGAATAATAATAATGCAAATTGAAAACAGTAGTCAAGTGGTAATCCCGTTTTGGTCGCATTAGTTCTAATTTTCTCTAGTAAAATTAACGACAAGAGATGATCACAAAAAAATGAAAGTATGCAGTAAAATGTCTAGTAAAATTAAAAAGAGATAAAAGCAAAAAAATGAAACTGCAAAAAAATTCAGATTGAAAACAATCACAGACTACAATTATACATTTTTCTCTAAAATAAAGTTAGGAGTTTAATTTTATTGGCGTGCCAAAATGATTTGCCTGGTTAAATGATTTCGTATTTTTGGACCTCGAATTAGTTCTGTGGCATTCATAGTAGCAGCATACATTCGAATTTCAATAAATGTTTTACAAACTGCTTTGATTAAATAATAAATATGATTTGTAGCATCATTGCTTTCCTCACAAATATGACTGTCAAGATCTGCGAATAATAAACAAGGTGGTTGAAGTAAGTCAGACAAAACTTTAGAACAAATAACTGATGGATAATTTTTCTCTGGGGGAACAAAACCCTTTATTTGAATTAATGTGTTCCTAAATAACTGTTCTGTTTTTAAGCAAATCTGAATCACAGATTCACTCGGAAATATTAACCCCTTCACTGTTTGGAAAAATATTCATTTTAGTGTCCCAAAATGTCCATCAAAATCTTTTAAATTGTTATATTATTTAAAAATAATAAACAATTATTTATTGATTACTTTTTCTAGTATCATTGATACCTATAGTATGTGAATAATGATATAAAAGAATTTATTTTATAACCCTTGCGAAATCGTTTTACCAAATGACTCCCCACGTGGGGAGTCATTTGGGATACATTTGGTAAATTGCTTTATAATTCTGTTAAAAGACAGAATTTGATGAAAAAACGATTGAAAGTTGAAAAGTAACATTTAGAGAATGAAATTATGCAAAGATTTTTATAAAGGAAGCTTTGAATAATTAATAATTAACTGAAATGTGCATAGACTTCATTGAGATTTTATAGCAAGGTTATTTTTCATAATTACTTATGAAAACGATGTAAATAAAGGAAAAAATAATTTACATTGGTAAAAGAATGTAAAAGTATTAATTATGTATATGAATAAGACTAATTAGACAATAAAAGTTGTAATTTAATTAAATGCAAATGGTAAAGTGATATTAAAGTAATATCTACTTTACCATCAACTTATTCTATTTCAGCATTAGAAAGACACTAGAAACAATCAGAAGTCCCTAACGGCAGATATCCCCGCGCGGCGTTTGGTTTGACGGGTTTGACGCAATATTCTACAGGGTGTTCTTTTTTTAATGATGGCAGAGAAATGCTACTTTTATATTAAAGTAACTTACGGTTATTATTTCTAATTGTAAAATAATTACCGTTTAAATTTTTTAATTATAGTCACCATCAATATTATCTAAAAATTAAATATTCTCACCTTTTTTCCAGGGCATGTTCCGAATAGAAAAATTGCATTTAGTAAAAAGGAGGAGTTTAAATATTATTTTTATTGGCAAAAAGTCTCTATCCTTTTTCTCTTAAAAAGTTAAAATAAACATTATATTTTTTAAAAATGATAAATATTCTTAGAATTTTTCTCAATGGAGCAGCGAATAAAAACATTGCGCTTTTTGTAAATAGGAGGAGGAAATATTTAATTTTTAAAAAATAAAACATAATCCCAACCCCAAAGAAAAAGTTTATGCTTTTAGACGAATAAAAATAAGAAACAAACTCCTCCTATTTTCAAAATCAATTTTTCTATTTGTTGGTTAAGTTAAACAAAATGGAGAAAATACTTAATATATGAAAAATAAAACATATAACCTCAACCCCCAAAGAAAAAATGGTTGCTTCGCATCAATGAAAATAATAAACAAACTCCTCCTATTTTCAAAATCAATTTTTCTATTTGTTGGTTAAGTTAAACAATATGGAGAAAATTCTTAATATATGAAAAATAAAATATATAACCTCAACCTCCAGAGAAAAAATGGATCTTTTAGACCAATCAAAATAATAAAAAAACTCTTCCTATTTTTAAAATCAATTTTTCTATTTGTTGGTTAAGTTAAACAAAATGAAGAAAAGAATAATATTTTTAAAATAAGAAATATAATCCCAACCCCCTAAGAAAAAAAGGATGTTTTAGACCAATCAAAATATAATAAACAAACTCCTCCTATTTTCAAAATCAATTTTTCTATTTGTTGGTTAAGTTAAACAATATGGAGAAAATTCTTAATATATGAAAAATAAAATATATAACCTCAACCTTCAGAGAAAAAATGGTTGCTTTAGACCAATCAAAATAATAAACAAACTCCTCCTATTTTCAAAATGTAATGTTTCATTTATTGGTTGAGTTAAACAAAATGGAGAATCTAATTAATATTTAAAAAATAAAACATATAATCCCAACCCCCTAAGAAAAAATAGATGATTTAGACCAATTAAAATAAAACTTAAACTCCTCCTTCTGAATGAAAGAAAATTTTCTATTTGTCGCTTCAGTTAAAGAAAATATGAAGCGAATTTATTAAATTTAAGCTCAACCCTTTACAAAAAATATACTTTTAGCCAATAAAAATAAGATTCAAACTCCTCCTGCTTAAAGAAAGCAAATTTTTTATTCATTGGTTCAACAATACAAAAAGGGAGTGAATATTTAATTTTTAAAAAGTTACATTTAGTCTTAACCCATTAAGAAAAAAAAACTTCTGGCCAATAAAAATAAACTCCTCCTATTTTCAAAATGTAATGTTTCATTTATTGGCTGAGGTAAACAAAATGGAGTATCTAATTAATATTTAAAAAATAAAACATATAATCCCAACCCCCTAAGAAAAAATAGATGATTTAGACTAATCAAAATAATAACCAATCTCCTCCTATTTTCAAAATCAATTTTTCTATTTGTTGATTAAGTTAAACGCAAAATGGAGAAAAAATTTATATTTAAAAAATAAAACATATTTTTCCAACCCCCAAAAGAAAAAATGGATGTTTTAAACCAATTAAAATAAAACTTAAACTCCTCCTTCTGAATGAAAGAAAATTTTCTATTTGTCGCTTCAGTTAAAGAAAATATGAAGCGAATTTATTAAATTTAAGCTCAACCCTTTACAAAAAATATACTTTTAGCCAATAAAAATAAGATTCAAACTCCTCCTGCTTAAAGAAAGCAAATTTTTTATTCATTGGTTCAACAATACAAAAAGGGAGTGAATATTTAATTTTTAAAAAGTTACATTTAGTCTTAACCCATTAAGAAAAAAAAACTTCTGGCCAATAAAAATAAACTCCTCCTATTTTCAAAATGTAATGTTTCATTTATTGGCTGAGGTAAACAAAATGGAGTATCTAATTAATATTTAAAAAATAAAACATATAATCCCAACCCCCTAAGAAAAAATAGATGATTTAGACTAATCAAAATAATAACCAATCTCCTCCTATTTTCAAAATCAATTTTTCTATTTGTTGATTAAGTTAAACGCAAAATGGAGAAAAAATTTATATTTAAAAAATAAAACATATTTTTCCAACCCCCAAAAGAAAAAATGGATGTTTTAAACCAATTAAAATAAAACTTAAACTCCTCCTTCTGAATGAAAGAAAATTTTCTATTTGTCGCTTCAGTTAAAGAAAATATGAAGCGAATTTATTAAATTTAAGCTCAACCCTTTACAAAAAATATACTTTTAGCCAATAAAAATAAGATTCAAATTCCTCCTGCTTAAAGAAAGCAAATTTTTTATTCATTGGTTCAACAATACAAAAAGGGAGTGAATATTTAATTTTTAAAAAGTTACATTTAGTCTTAACCCATTAAGAAAAAAAAACTTCTGGCCAATAAAAATAAACTCCTCCTATTTTCAAAATGTAATGTTTCATTTATTGGCTGAGGTAAACAAAATGGAGTATCTAATTAATATTTAAAAAATAAAACATATAATCCCAACCCCCTAAGAAAAAATAGATGATTTAGACTAATCAAAATAATAACCAATCTCCTCCTATTTTCAAAATCAATTTTTCTATTTGTTGATTAAGTTAAACGCAAAATGGAGAAAAAATTTATATTTAAAAAATAAAACATATTTTTCCAACCCCCAAAAGAAAAAATGGATGTTTTAAACCAATTAAAATAAAACTTAAACTCCTCCTTCTGAATGAAAGATATTTTTCCTTCGTGTGTTCAATAGAACAAAATGGAAAAAATATTAAACTTTAAAAAAATATGAAATTTAACCACAACCCTTTCCGAAAAAATAGGAGGAGATTCAATCTATTTTTGTATAGTTCATAGTAAACTTTATTTTTAAGTAGGAGGAGTTTGAATCTTATTTTTATTGGCTAGAAGTATATTTTTTGTAAAAGGTTGAGCTTAAATTTTATATATTCGCTTCATATTTTGTTTAACTGAAGCAACAAATAGAAAATTTTCTTTCTTTATGTAGGAGGAGATTGATTATTATTTTGATTGGTCTAAAACATCCATTTTTTCTTAGGGGTTGGGATTATATGTTTTATTTTATAAAATATATACTATATATATACTATATATATATATACTATATATATATACTATATATATAGCATTATATTTTTTATATTTTAAAAATATTATTCTTTTCTTCATTTTGTTTAACTCAACCAACAAATAGAAAAATTGATTTTGAAAATAGGAGGAGTTTGTTTATTATTTTCATTGATGCGAAGCAACCATTTTTTCTTTGGGGGTTGAGGTTATATGTTTTATTTTTCATATATTAAGTATTTTCTCCATTTTGTTTAACTTAACCAACAAATAGAAAAATTGATTTTGAAAATAGGAGGAGTTTGTTTCTTATTTTTATTCGTCTAAAAGCATAAACTTTTTCTTTGGGGTTGGGATTATGTTTTATTTTTTAAAAATTAAATATTTCCTCCTCCTATTTACAAAAAGCGCAATGTTTTTATTCGCTGCTCCATTGAGAAAAATTCTAAGAATATTTATCATTTTTAAAAAATATAATGTTTATTTTAACTTTTAAAGAGAAAAAGGATAGAGACTTTTTGCCAATAAAAATAATATTTAAACTCCTCCTTTTTACTAAATGCAATTTTTCTATTCGGAACATGCCCTGGAAAAAAGGTGAGAATATTTAATTTTTAGATAATATTGATGGTGACTATAATTAAAAAATTTAAACGGTAATTATTTTACAATTAGAAATAATAACCGTAAGTTACTTTAATATAAAAGTAGCATTTCTCTGCCATCATTAAAAAAAGAACACCCTGTAGAATATTGCGTCATACCAAACGCCGCGCGGGGATATCTGCCGTTAGGGACTTTTGATTGTTTCTAGTGTCTTTCTAATGCTGAAATAGAATAAGTTGATGGTAAAGTAGATATTACTTTAATATCACTTTACTATTTGCATTTAATTAAATTACAACTTTTATTGTCTAATTAGTCTTATTCATATACATAATTAATACTTTTACATTCTTTTACCAATGTAAATTATTTTTTCCTTTATTTACATCGTTTTCATAAGTAATTATGAAAAATAACCTTGCTATAAAATCTCAATGAAGTCTATGCACATTTCAGTTAATTATTAATTATTCAAAGCTTCCTTTATAAAAATCTTTGCATAATTTCATTCTCTAAATGTTACTTTTCAACTTTCAATCGTTTTTTTCATCAAATTCTGTCTTTTAACAGAATTATAAAGCAATTTACCAAATGTCTCCCAAATGTATCCCAAATGACTCCCCACGTGGGGAGTCATTTGGTAAAACGATTTCGCAAGGGAATTTAAATAACAAATTTCTATTTTTTGCTAAAACTTTCACGACCCAACGTTGGGTCGCAAACAGTCTGGGCCATCTTTTTTCACGACCCAACGTTGGGTCGCAAACAGGCAACAGGTTAAGTCACCACGTAACTTAATTTTAATGAGAAGATTATCTGCCAATTCATTAATTGCATCAAGTGGTTCTAAAAGTGCAAAACCACATTCTGTGCACAAAATTTTTGGTTTTTTCATGTCAAGTAGATTCTTAACTACCTAACCAGCGATATAAGCAACACAGGATCTCGAGAATTGTGATATATGTTGAACAGAAGTGTAGTTTTTAAATTCTTGAAAAAAGTCAGTTTCCCAGTCATCTGTTTCATTGTTTTCAAGTAGTCCATACTTTTTTGCAACTTGAAGATTTACAAAACGGTCATAAACCTCTGAATTATAACGATCCAACTTTAATTTTCGAGTAGAAGGAACTGTCAAAATTGTAGTGGCATCATGCTTTCACAGTTTCCATTTACTGCTTGGACTTCATGCTGTATAAGCAGTCTTTTATAAGCGGAAACAAACTCTCGAGCAGTAGGATTCGGATTCCAACCTCCGCAACTTCTAATTGCACAAAAAAAAGTTCTAAATGGTCTTGGCTTTATTTGTAAGTTAATAGATATTTCAATGCAGCGTCATCTGGTTTTACATATAGATCGAATATATGTATAACAGATTCAACTGCTGTGATGAGCCCTACGAAAGGAACGTATCTTCGAGTAAAAATCATTGGTTTACCTTTAATATCTGTTATATCTTTCAAATAATCAATGTCTTCTAAAATTTGAGTTCGTTAAAAGTTTTCGTTAATCACTTTCAAAAGAGCTTTATAACCCTTTCCCAAAGGATTTCTGGAGTTTAGGAAATCGAAAACTCTATCAACACATCTTAAGAATTGAACAGTAGCTTCAGACCCTTTAAAATGTTTTAAATTCAAAACATTGTCACAAAACTCTATACAGTCAGCCACACTGCTACTGAGAGTTTGAGCGGCTATAGCTACTTTCATTTTCATCTTCCAATAATGAATGTGAATCAGTCTAAGTTTATTTCCACCTCTTAAACCTTCTTTTTCTTGCAAAATTACCAACTCTACAATGAATTTCCACTCTATAAAACGACCATAACTATGTCTGAAAACCTTCTTATCCCCAAAACAATTTCGCATTAATTTACACATGTGACATGTATCAAAAACTACACATACATTTCGGTTTTCGCATGGATGATGAAAGTAATGTTTATAATTAGGCATAGAAAATGTTGCACCTAGAGTTTTCATAGTAGCAAAGTGTTCTTTCTGGACCATCTAGTGTTACAGACACAACTTCAATTCCAATGTTATGAAAGCGAATCAAAGCTTCTGTAATTAGAGAACTATTTGTTTCAGAATTAATACCATTGATCAAGAAATAACCGATTGGTATTTTCCAAGAATCATTCAAAGCTACAACCATCATAACATGTGCATCTGTAGCTGCAGGTAAAGTTTCAGAAATTGAAATACTCGATCCAAAATCTACATAACCTCTAATTTTTCCGTCACGAGTTCTCTGAAAGCCTTTTTTGATAGATATCCCATCTAACATGAAACTAACTAATACTTTTTTGTTAACATTTTTCGCTTCCTCTACTTTTCATTCTAAAGCGTCAAAGCTTTCAGATGTAAAGCCAGGTTCACCGTCAATTGAAGAATACCATGATATTATGGTAGAGGGATCTGGCAGAGCTTTAAAAAATTTCTGTCTAACAAAACGATAAGCTTTAAGAGAATAGTAGTGCAAAGTAACTGCAAAAGTTCTAAGAGCTGGAGGATATATTTTTCTACTTACACGAGTACTTTTCGAATTTGCAAGAAATCTTTGCAATAACTCACACACATCATTTTCGGCAATTGTTTCCAAACATTGCAGTCCTGATTGTGGAACTAATTTTCTTTTTCGAATTTCACGTACCAAGTGAGTTAAAGATGTAATACGTTTCTCCAAACGTATAATTTTCTGTTTTTGAATACGGGAATCGTTTCTTAGAGTAGAGATAATAGTTTGGCTTTTCTTCAATTTTTTTCGTAATGACCTCGGAGTAGTGTCATAATGGTGATCTTCATATATTCGGCGGCATCGTTCCGCGATAGGAGTTCCTGGTGTTGCCGTTTCTTGTGGTTGCGCTGCAAAAGCTGAACTCAGAAGTAGTGAATTAATGTTACAACCTTTGAAATAAATGTTTCATTAATATATAGCTTTTTTCAAGACTAACAAAATCTTAGTACACACAGACTTTGTTAAACTCACCACCATTATCTTCAATTGAAAAATTGGGTACTGACAGTGCTTCTGAATTTTTTGGCAGTAATGTGCTGTTCGAACCTAAAAAAATGCATAAAACATTTCATTTTTATAATACAATTAAATTTTTTTTTAAATTAACAATCTTACTTAGCTGTTTTGAATCTTACTTAGCGTTTCATCTCTTTCAGACACAAGAGATGCTGTGTTTACAACATTTTCAGATCTTGCTAACTTTGAAATTTGTAAGTCATCCGGCGATGCTTCTCTTTTTTTTGTAAATTATTATTTTCGTTTAAATTTTCAGGAATGTTATGCCTTTCAACATCTGTAAAACATTTTCCAAATACTTAATTAAGAAACCTGCGCAATTTTAAAATTTAATATTATATACAGTATTATTTAATATAACAACTTAATGAAACCTTACCTTCACTTCTTGCAATTAAACTTGGTACGGCATCAGACTTAAGAGTTAAGACAGATGCATTTTTCCCTGTTTTTCTGAAGCATTTTGCTTCAAAATGGTCACTGCACAAAAGACTCTTTTTTGTTACAACAACATCTTTTAGATCCAATGTAGATAACCACTTTTGTAACAATTCTGCATTTTCGAAAGGAAATGTGTTAAAATGAAAAGAATATTTACTTTTAATATATTATTTCATTTATACTCGCTGGAGAAAAGGATAGTATTTTTTATAATATTTAATTTATACCCACAGCTATCATAGCTTTATTTGCCAGATGAGTTACTTGTTTTCAACCGGTTTTAATGCTAAAATATATGAAGTATATACATATTAAATATACATATTAAATTACGAATGCACTTACTTGCGGAAAGATCTACCTTTATTGGCTCCTTTTATTTCATGACAAAAATGCAACAGGATTTATAAATTCCAAATTTTGAAGGAACGCTTTTTGGTAGTAAACTGCGTTTAGTATCTTTAGAAAAACATGTTTCCTCAAAATAATCCGAACATAATAGTGACAACTTGCCAGGTTTAAAATATGGCCCTAATTTCATATTTTTAATCCATTTTTCCAACAATTCAACATCATTTAATGGAAATTGGTAAAAAATTAAATATATAATTCTTTAAATAATAATTAAATACCTTACATCATATTTCAATGAAATAAAAATTCTCCGTACTTGTCAACATAACCTATGTTTTTATTATGAAAGAAGTTACTCACCTATGAAAAGAACGAAAATTATCTGCTACTCGCGCTTCTCCACAATAAATACACTTAAACACCATTATAATAGTGTGTAATTAACGTTTAAACACATTATTTACAAAAATAAACATGGAAAAAGAACATAACTACTAACAAATGTCGCACATGTAAACAGAATCAAACAACTGTAAAACGCGCATGTCTGAGAAACTGACCTCCAGTTCAGAACCTTCAATTTGTTTCAACCGGAAGTTGCTTATACACTATCCAGTAGTATATATATGGGACATTCCACGTCAACACGGACAGAGCTCTAAACAAAAATTGCTTTGATGGATTTAAACGTTCTAGGGCTTAAAAGATTTCTACGTTCATGTACTTTAAGATGCCGATGGGCGTTTTTTGCAAAATTCCATTTCCGATGCCAATGGAACTATAAAAAGTCAAAAGCTGCAAAAATCTCAAAATACTTTTATGAATTAAAAGCAAAAAACGAGGTAAATTATTCTGTAACTCATTCTTTATCAGTTTTTAGGGTTCCCGAATATAAATCTAAAGTTTTTTTTTAAAAATCCAAAATGGCGAAATCAATATGGCGGACAAAATTCAAATTTGATCAGATTCGATTAAAACTTGTTACTCAGGGGTTTTTAGGGTCGCTGATTACGAATCTAAAGTCACTTTTTAAAAATTCAAAATGGCGGATCCAATATGGCGGAAAAAATTTTCAAATTTGATCCGATTCCCTTAAAACGTGTTACTCGGGGGCTTTTGGGGTCGCAGAATATGAATATGAAGTTACTTTGTGTTTGAGACTTCAAATTCATAATCAGATACGCTAAAAACCACCGAGTAACACTTTTTAATTAAATCTGATCAAATTAAAAAATTTGATCCGCCATTTTGAATTTCTACAAAGTAACTTCATATTCATAATCTGCGACCCCAAAAGCCCCCGAGTAACACGTTTTAAGGGAATCGGATCAAAATTGAAAATTTTTTCCGCCATATTGGATCCGCCATTTTGAATTTTTAAAAAGTGACTTCAGATTCGTAATCAGCGACCCTAAAAACCCCCGAGTAACAAGTTTTAATCGAATCTGATCAAATTTGAATTTTGTCCGCCATATTGAATTCGCCATTTTGGATTTTTTAAAAAAAACTTTAGATTTATATTCGGGAACCCTAAAAACTCATAAAGAATGAGTTACAGAATAATTTACTTCGTTTTTTGCTTTTAATTCATAAAAGTATTTTGAGATTTTTGGACCTTTTGACTTTTGACAGTTCTATTGGCATCGGAAATGGAATTTTGCAAAAAACGCCCATCGGCATCTTAAAGTACATGAACGTAGAAATCTTTTAAGCCCTAGAACGTTTAAATCCATCAAAGCAATTTTTGTTTAGAGCTCTGTCCGTGTTGACGTGGAATGTCCCATATATATATATATATATATATCAGTGAGAGGAGTAGTTTGTTTTCCAGGAACTGGACCATTCAAGTTAAGAAAAGATGAAGACCTCATCAATGACTCCGAATCAAATGTTAAATCAGTTTTAAAGGATCTCCCGGGATTTGGTTTAATTTCATCAGATAACCGTTTGGATTACAGGACCTTTTAAAGTAAGATTATCAACTGAGGATCTAAATAGGATTACACAAAAGTTATTAAATTTACGACACAGTACGCCAAAAGAATTTTCGAGAAGACCACGAACGATTTTTGACTACTTGTATTGGAAGGCGACGGAGTTTAGGACTTTTTTATTATATACGGGACCCATCGTTTTAAAGGACATTTTAGAACCTGCAGTTTATGCGCATTTTGTTCTCTTGCACTCTGCAATCACCATTTTATCAAATGACTCTTATATAAGAGATCCATCAAACGTGGACTATGGAGAGAAATTATTAAACGAATTTGTCAAAAATGTTCCAACTATTTATGGCAAACAATTTGTGTCTCAAAATGTCCACAATTTATTGCACCTTTGTGCAGATGTTCGAAAATTTGGCTCCTTAGACAGTTTCAGTGCTTTCCGCTTCGAGAATTATATGATGACCATCAAGAGAATGATTCGCAAAGGGGAAAAACCCCTCCAACAAATAGCGCGTCGATATTCGGAACAAGAAAAGGCTGAAATGGAGAAATCAGAAACGTCTACTGCTTCGCCATTAAATTCAAAAATAAATTTAAAACATCGACCTTTTAATGGACCGTTAGCAGATGGTATTCATGCTATTTATGAGCAATTTAAAATCTACGAGAGTACAACGTATTCTATAAACTGCAATAATTCCAAAGATTGTTATGTTCTGTTAAGAAATGGTAAATTTGGAATGATAGAAAATATTGTACAGGAAGAAAATGGCACAGTTTATTTTATTGGCGAAGAGTATGAACCAATTGACAGACTTTACAATGATCCTGATTCAAGTATCTTTAACATAAACATTATCAGAAGTAGTAATTCGAAAAAACATTTGTGGTACGTTGAGGACATACATCGCAAAGTGTGGAGAGTACTTTGCCAAGCAGGATTTATAGTTATTCCTTTGGCACATAATTCGTGAAATTATCAGAAGAAAACTCATTCAAAATGTGCATCATTACTATTTTTAGGTAAGGTTTTCATATTTTATTGTACATTTAATTCCAGCCTCACAAATTGAATTGACAATTGTTCTCTTTCACTGTTCATATAAAACCTGTAATTTGGGGAAAACATAAAGAATTTTAAAACGTGAATATTAAATTTAAATTTACCCTAGAAATTAATAAAATTTCACTTAAATTCATAAATATGAAAAATATCTGAAATCTGAATTTTTAATTTTTTTTAAAAACTTAATTATTTATTTGTTTAATAATTTTTTTTGCAAATTTTAATTATTTTAGGGAATTTTATTCAAATTCGTTGTAAAATTTAATTATTTTCATGAATTTTAATAAAATTTTTGTCTAAATCCAATTATCAGGAATTTTTAAAAAAATTTATTGCAAAATTCAATTATTTTTAGGAATTTTAATAATAATTTTTGTCTAAATTCAATTTTCCGGGTTTTTTTTTAAATTTTTAAAAAATTCAATTATTTTCATAAATTTCAATAAAACTCTGCAAAATTCGATTTTTTCCTGGAATTTTATTAAAATTCTAATTCATCTATAATTTTAATAAAACTATTTGCAAAATTGAATTATTTTTAGAAATTTTAATAAAATTTTTGTCTAAATTCAATTTTCAGGAATTTTATTCAAATTCGTTCCAAAATTCAATTATTTTCATAAATTTTAATAAAATTTTTGTCTAAATCCAATTATCAGGAATTTTTTAAAAATTTATTGCAAAATTGAATTATTTTCATGAATTTTAATAAAACTCTTTGCAAAATTCAATTTTTTTCTGGAATTTTATTAAAATTCTAATTCATCTATAATTTTAATAAAACTTTTTGCAAAATTCATTTATTTTCAGAAATTTTATTAAAACTTTTGCCAAATTTAATTAAAATTCATGGCAAATTTTTTTTATTTTTCAAAGATTTTGCTAAATTTAAATTATTTTTAAAAAAGATTTTACCAAATTTAAATTTTTTAATTGTTATATAATTGTAAAACTATTGCGTCTTTCAAAAATTATTTAGAAATATTTTTAAAACTTTAATTTTACAAATTTATTTATTAAAATTTTTGAATATATTCTACCTTAAAATATTAAAAAAGAAAAATGAACAGTTTCAATTATTATAAAAAATTGAATGTTTGTATTTAAATAATTTAATTCTTAAAGAACTTTCGGAAAAATATTAAAAAGTAATATAGATAATTGATTTCGAAACGAAGTTTAGTTAAAAATTATAGAAAATAATTGAGTTTTTGTGAGGGTTTTTATAGTTTTAATTTTCAGAAATTATTAAATTTCAGAATTTAAAATTAAAAATTTTTTTTTTCCTGGTGAAAAAAATTTTCTTATTAATTAAGATTAGATTTCTTATAAAGAAATAAGAAGTGAGGTATTATAGTCATTTTGACTAATTTAAAAGTGAAAATGAAAAAAATAATATAATTTCAAGAATAGAAGAACTTAAAAATTTTTGAAAAATATAATTTTTGGTTTTATGATTAATTTATTTTTCTTTTGGAGGTTGTCGCTCCTTTCTGCCTCCTTAATTTTATAATATTAATAAAGGTTATAATTTTTGTTTTCAAATGTATAAGTAATAATTAATATTTATTTAATAAATATTTTATTCAAATTTATTAATTATGTTTAAAAAATAGTTATTAAATATTGAAGGTGTAAAATTTAACAATCTCTCCGAATCATTTTCTCACTTTAAGCTAATATAATATAAAATAATAATTATTATTAAAATAATATAATATATATACAAACCAAGTGATAAATTCATCCTATAAATTAATAATTATTAAAATTCATTAAGTATAATTTATTAATAATTGTTTATTAATTATTATTTTTTAAATTCATAATTTTTATTTTTAAATAAATGTATAATAATTAATTATTTAATAACT